GGGGGGGCAAAGCAGCACTAGTACATGGTCGCACCGGCCCTAGCCCTCCCGGCCCCCCCGAATCTCGTGCCGTTGGACGTCCGGTATGGGCTGTAGATGTGTGGCCTTGGGCCTGGGCTTTGTCGCGAATCGGATTGCATAAGCCTTGACAAACTCGTCCTAGGCTGGCTGTGGCGGCGAGTGACAGCGACAGGGAAAAAAGTAGCCGGGTGCCATGCATAGCACACCCCCCAAGCTATCAGAGCAAGCAGCAGTAACTCGCAGCAAAAGAGCGCCAGCTACGGCAGCAGGCCATTGGCACTCCCGCCGAGCCGCCACCACAGGTGATGCATCACAGCCTGTTATCCCCTCTCCCCTCTCTTTTCCGTCTCTGCCCCTTTCTGCGATCCGACCCCGGTCAGGTTGGGAGCCCCATTCGGATATAATCCTATTCGTTGGAACGAACAGAATGGGGGCCGTTATTTACTTGGCTACTTATCTTGCCGTGTAGCCATTGGTGTCTGCTCCCCGCTAGCGCCATATTGACACAGACCTGCTCCATCCTGCATACTCTCTTGCATGGACCAGGGCAGCAGTGCTATACGTCGCAGTGCTAATGTCGTGTGGTCGCGGGCCTCGCGGATTTGGTTGGAGTTTCCCCATCATGGTGCCAGTCACTTTCCCGACAGTCATCCCTTTTCTGCCCACCCCTTTCGCCATCCGTCCATCCTCCGATCTGGCCCATTGCCGTTCGATTGACTGACATCGGTGTGTGTCCGCGTAGATTCGGTGTGGACTCGACTCAAGAAACGTCGGCAGTCTATTTCCGGCCAAGGCAAGGTTTTCGCGAGGTTGCATCCGAGCAGTGGGCCAGCTAGAGCCCCAGGCCCCCAAGGCCCGTGCACACGTCCAGCGAGCGAGCGCACGAGCGAGGGCTTTGGCACGACCCCGGTTCCGCGATGGCTGGGGGAAGGAAGCAACGGCCAGCTTCCCTTCCCGTCTTCGGCATGCGCCTCGACGACTATTTTGTCGCTCCCGTCTGGTCTGTGTCTGTGATGCCGGCGGCGGACGGCCACCATCATAACTTGTACACCTCGCGGGAGGGGCGGCCGACAGCGATCATGACAGCGGCATTGCGGACGACTCTCGGGTTTTCCCTTGCAGCGGGCAGTGGCGTCACCACCGGAACGGGTCGTCTCTGCGGAGCCTGGACGTGCACGTCAAGCAAAAAAATTGTAGGGCCTGACCACCTTGACCTTGGGGATGTCAAACGGGGAACCGTGACCCAGCGATTCGTAGCATCCCGAGTGGGTTCTCGGCGACAACATTGCGATTTTTCACATTGTCCGAGTTGCAGGAAATCGACAACAACTGCCGAGGTATTTTCGAAGCCAACGACGAGGCGCGTTTTGGCGCTTCTGCCCGGTGGCTTTTGCGTCCATCTGACTGAAGTCAGTTAATGTCGATCGGACGGCGATGGGTGCCCCATACACAACATTAGACCAAGGCTCGCTGTGCTGCTTATCGGTCAGTCCCAGAGGCTCGGGTCCGGACTAGTCCGAAATCATAATGTTGGGGGAACAGGAGCAGAGGACAAGGGGGCAGATCGGACAACAGACAGGGTGTTTGCCCTGGAGGCTGCATTGCTAGCGTGCTTCCCTTGTTTAGTGCGCGCCCGAAAAAAAAAAAACCCCAGCCAGGCAGGAAGGATGCCGGCCAGCCGGCCTCGCCAGCTCTTTTGGTGCCTGCCGGCCTGCGAGTGAGTGACAGCAAGAGAGAGGAAAAGAGCCTGAGACGGGGCACGAAATAAGGAGCATCAATATCACCCATGACCAAAGCTCCCGATAGGGGCAAGCTTGGCGAGGCCAGCAAAGGAGGGAACTCGCCGAGATTACGCTGAGGGGGCCCACCTGAGGGGGTTTTGCGAAAATGCGCACACGCACACTGGAGCGCTCCCTGTGCTGACGTTAATAGGACGTGTTGGCGCGCGCGGAAACGAAAAGAGGGACCCCGTCGACTCCGTCAGCAACTCCCTAGGAAAAGAGTCCATCTCGCTCTGAGAGAGGGCTGAGTGGAGCCTCAGCTCTGGCGCCGTGCGAGACCCCCACGCGGCTGGGCCTGGTGATACCGAGCTATGTGTCACCGGAAATGTGCACTGACTCCCTAGGGCATCCTTTTCACAACAAACGATGTTTTTGAAACGGCGTTGGGGTTTGGTGGCAAGGTGGTTATGGCTGGTGGCTGGTGGCTGGTGGCGGTGGCTTGATGGTATCTGGTTAGTGGTGACCCATCGAGACGTCCGAGCAGATGTTCGCCACCATTGCCTTTCTTTCCTTCTTTTCTTTTCTTTTTTTTCTTTGCTTTTTTATCCTTCTTTTGCCCTCTATTTTATTTTACTTTTCGCCCTCCATCTTGAGAAGCGGGGAAGGTTCGACAACCCTTTTCGAACACCCTCTTGTGTTGCGTCTCTCCTTTTCGGATTATCGTGCCTTCCTTTCCCCCTGCCGCAAGCTGACCGTCCACTCCCAATTTTGAAAGGAGGCGCCCAATCAGATCTGCGGGGCCTGGGATCTACCTTACCATCTCGCTGGGATTGAATCTCGACAGGGCCAGGGTATTTTCCCGCTACGTCGGATCAGGAAAGCCCAAGGGGGATCCGACGCAGGGATCACCCCTGTTGTGTCTGGGGTGCTGGGGTATGGTTATCGGGGAGCTTCTCAGGAAGGGTGGCACGTACGCCTGGGTTGGTTTTCGCTTGATTTGCAAGGGGAGCGACAACCTACCAGCATCCAACGTCCCACCACCCGGTTGATAGATCGGATTTTCGTTCAGTTCAGCATTCCCACCTGGGACGAAGCAGCTGCGATCGCCCGAAAATGAAGGAAATAGTTGCGAAAACTTGTGGGTTCCTGCCTGCGGGCCCCTCTTTTGGTGTTTTTTTTTCTTTTCTTGTTCATTTTTTCTTTCTCCGGCCTGAATGCGAACCGCTCCCGCCTGCTGTATTACACGGATGTCAGCATCCTCCTGCCTGCCCCTTGGCGGCCAGCCACAATCACTCGCTCCGTGCTCATCCGTTTGTGCAGACGGATATCCGGTGTGCGTTCCAGGATCACCCCCTTCGTCCCATGCAGGTACAGCAGCGGGCCTGGCCAAATGCCATCCTGATTGCACACAAACACGCCCAGATCTTGCTCCCATGAGCGCCTGCGCTCGGCCTCTTTTGTTTTTCAGCAAGGGGCACACATGACGCACACCCTGTGACCCCCCCAGTCACCTCCCCCTGGGGCTCTTTTTCATCTCTTGGCTTGATCATTCGCATCACACTCCGAGCGAACATCGAGACGGAGATGATTTGCGCATGCGCTCGTCGGCGAGGTAATTTTGATTATGACTTGGCTGTCGTCCTTTTGGCCAGTGTGATGTTTGAGGCTCCTCCTTCAACACCCTTGTGCTGCGTTACAAAAGTTCTGTGTTATGTTATACAAGCGACCCACGACAATGACAGGATCTGCCGTCACGTTGCACTTACCGTTGTAGTCCCGGGTTCGGTCCTGGCGCTTTTTTTATATACATTCTCCCGCAGCCTCCAACGGGCGAGAGTGACGGGCATACCCACTTGTTCAACGGTGTTTTGTTTTGCTCCCCAAGCTCGACGGCCTGGCGTTTCATTTGAGCCGCTCCCCATGGGTGTGCACGAGCGTTTGGCTTGCGTGTAAACATATGCGTGTGTGCGCGGCGCGCATCTAAAATAAATCATGCTTCTTTTGCTGTCGGTCTAGTGTGCATGATGTGTTTTAGTGATTCGACGACAGAATTTGGGCTGTCCCGCTAAAACTGCCAGGTTGGTGACTTGGAGCTCGGTTCGCCGTGTGGCTGGCCCAGGCACCTGCCACTCCTGCTAGCGGGGAGGGCTAGATGAGCTAGATGAGATGGACCAACGCGAGCAGCCACAAGACGGAAAAACCACAGCTGTCCCACCGCTGTGTCCCCGGCGTCGTTGGACGCCACCAAACCCATGGCTGGGGTTTCAAACCTTTCGGGGCTTGCTGCCGGGGGCGTTTCGGGGTTCTCTCGAGCTAATTAAGCGGGTGTGTTGCCTTTAGCGCGAGTCGTCCCCCTCAGCCAGGTGCTGGCTGGGCAGGCACGTCCGGATTTTTTTCGCGCTGAGTAGACTGTGCCGCGGCAGGCAAATTAGAAAGCGGGTGCCCTAATACGGGCGAGTGGGCGGCACTAAAGGCGGGCCGGTCTATCGTCCTTGCTCGCTTCAGTCTCGACAGCTCGCTCGCTTCTCTCTGACAGGCAGGCCAACTTTGGAGCCTTTTCCCCACCAGCCCTGGCCGACGCCATTTCCGTCACTCGACTTTTCTTTCCTCCGTTTCTTTTTCTTTCGGGTCCTCGCAAGCAGTACCTTCCCCGGAAGCCTCGACCAGTGAGGCGGCGCAGCCTCCAGGTTCACTAGTGGGACTCCGTATCTCCCATGGCGCAACTACCCAGGCCCGGAGCTCTGCAGGCCGATAGGTCGGGGGCGGTGTTGACCTGTCAACTCTCCTACCCTTCACCTATCGAGAGGTGGGCACGTGCCACGCGCCGCTGTATCCGGTCTAGAGCCGTGCCTGGCCGGTCCCGACAAACAAAAGAGGGTCACCGCTTTCTAGGGCGCCGATCGCTCGCAAGGAGAGGGTCCCCGACCACCAGGAGGCGTCGTTGGCATCGTCCACTCTCGCGCGCGCCTCACCTCGCAGCATGCGCATACAGGCGTGTGTCAGCCATGCACAGTAACCGCGAGGTACTTTGTGGGCAAGCAGAATCTAGGGCGGTGTGGCGTGCATCTGGGTGCATGCGAGGGCGAGTGAGGAGAAGGGTGTCACAGCATGTAAGTGTGTGAGTGAGCGTGTGTCTATGGTGGGGGGGATAAAGGGCAGGCTGGCCAAGAAACCGGTTAGCCGGAACAGCTCCCGCCCCTTGTCGACACTTAGCTGCAAAGACCGAATATTTGGAAGGCTCTCTCCTGTCATGTCTTGGCTCTGCGCTCCTTTTCGACTATTGAGGTTTTGACGTTCTGCTGGAGTGCGATCGATTTGCGAAGCCCGAGCAGGTTAAGTGCTGACCCCCACACAAACTATCATTGGAACGACTCATGCGACACAGGCGATGCCAGCACCAAGAACAAGATGCTTTGGGCAGCGGTGGCTGTGTAAGCAACATCCGCCTCCCGTCCGTCTCGCTCCCCGGCCTTTATGCTGATTTCTCCGCGCCCGCTAGATTTGCACCATATGGCACTGTTCTTTGGAATTACATCCATGCTCTACATGCAGCAGCGGCTTCGTTTACCCCAAACACTAAGCCAAAGGGACAGAGAATACGGGGTTAGCTTGTTGCATGGCTTTGCATGCAGCAAGTGGTTGGCAGTACAGTAGTAAACACGTTAGCCGGCCTCGTAAAAGCGGTCTGCCAACCTATTCCGACTCTGGTTGGCCGGCGCGGCCTTTGTTGGGATAGCCTGAGGCCACCCGTTGAGTCTTGTCCGGGGCTCCCAAGACAACACGAGCCTCCAAGGCACTCACTTTGGGAGCGGTCGTTGGGCTAGACCCATAACTGTCCCATCGCCCTCTCCGCTAGGAGTCTTGGGCGTGCAGGCTATGGCGAGATGATGACAGCCCTACAGCTCAAGCCACGAGTGGCCGCAGGTAAAAACACGGATGGGTGCAGAAACCAGGCTGCCTTTATGCCCACCTGCCTGCCTGCCTGCCTGCCAACCTGATTAGGTACCCGCCAGGCTACATACATAGAGGTACATGCGTATGCGGTGCAGGCTTCGCTGGACATCTCGATGAAGCCCAAATCCATCTCCAAGCCATGGGCGCCGCCGTCCATGCCGCACGCTGATGTCAGGTGCCCGCGCAAGCTGTGCCGCATCGGGCAGCCATCTAAACTACCTAGCTACTTGCTTCGAAACCCTGCCGTCTACGGACAAAAAACACCCGGTGGGGGGATCTCGCTGCCGTCAGGGCAACCGAGAAAAGCCGGTCGGTAGGCAAGTGATAGCCGGCCAGGCCTGCAAACAACGGTGACACAAACATGCCAGGGACGGTTTTTGCCCTGGAGAAAGCGCGCTGTGGCATGACCGCCTGTTGGCTGGGCACGGCCGTCCAATCTCCTCAGTTAAATCGCGTTTGGGGGCGCAATATTCGATAGGTGTCATAGGTGGTAGGTAAGTGTTAGCTTAGGGGTGAGCGTGGAGGTGTACCTAGGTGCATCATTCCTTAGGTGCTTGCGTGCTATTGACGGGTTAGACTTTGCAAAAGGCTCCCTGCCAATCAACCCCGACCAAAACACCAAAGCGCTGAGAGGACGCCGCAAAAGACCCGTACTGCCCTTGTTCTGAGCAAGGCAACTGTCCACCCGGCGGCTGGTTCCTGGCGAGTGCCCTGCGCAATATGGCAGAGAATTATAGACAAGGGCCGGGAGGGGGTGGGTTTGGCATCGGGGAGGGGGTGGAGCAATCACGGGGGCAGCTTTCTCCCAACGGATGGCAGGGGACTGTGGGGGCATGGGGTGTGAGAATGTATGGCAACTGCCGCGGCCGGATCTGAGCTCCATGGAAACATCAAACAGCGAAATCCGACGACAGGGGACCCCTGACTGCATCCCATCCCAGCACCTTTTCCTCCACCCACCACCCGCGCCTTCCAGTTCTGTTGCGGTAGGAGGAAGGCACCACTACCAGCTCCTGCCCGACGCCCAGTAGCCCGCATCCACACACCCACACCCACACCCACACACATTGACGCGCCCACGCGCACCTTCCCTCGACTGCCACCTCTGGCGGTGGAGAGAAAGACAGGAAGGAGCCAGGCACCCAGGCCTGCCCACATTTATTGACTGCTGCCAGAACGGCATGCCTTTGCACTCCAAGCACACAACTATCTCGTGGCGAGCCAGGACCCCCAATCTCCTCTACGGCAGTCCTGCCCGTCACACTCGACGGCTCGACTGTTGACAACCCTCTTTCCAGCGTTGGCTCTTCGCCGTGTGGAGATCCGGCGAACGAGACGGGCCTTCCCAACCTGGCGGCTGCTCTTCCGTGTCCCACCCAGACGAATGCGAGGTTTCAACCGGGCAGAAACACGATAACTGATAGAACGTATGGCCGGTCAACTCTTGGCCCTGGCATCCGCGATAATGCAACCGATCGATCACGCCCATCCCCCCTCCTCTCTTTCTTCTTTTCTTTTTTCTACTCTCCTGACCCCCCCTGACCGCTCGGGGGGCGTATCGGCGACCTCCTCGCAAACTTGCGAGATGGAAAAGAAAAAAAGGCCCCAGAAAACGACCGAGCAGAGATGGCGATGGAGATGGGGAGGCGGAAACGCCACAGACCAACGCATGTAGTTCGTTGGACCACCCTTGAGCTTGACGCCCCGCCGCCGAGCCGTGACCTGCTGTCGCTTCGACCTGCTGTCGCTTCAGGGAGTTTGCCCTCCGCGAACTGCTGGCTGAGGCCTCGCCGTCCTGCCGAAAGCAGTCTATTCCACCAAAGGCACCTAGATTCCAAATATGACGGGCGTGTCGTTGCTGGGTTTAATCTTTCTCTGTCGACTGCCCAGAAGGCTGTCCGGCTGTCCGGCTGTCCGGCCACCACGCGCGGCAGCAGCTCGTGCCATACTCATACTCTCTCTGCCCAGCGCGCGCCGTGCCGCTGGAGGCTGACCACCACTCGCCTTGTTCTCCTACCCGATTTCCCTTCCTCTGCAACCTATTGGCCACCCCGTATCTGTCTCCCCTGCCCGAGTCGTACTTCCCAACGAGGGTTCCACCTAAAGCACCAAGGACGCAGATCGAAACCGCAGGACCTGCTTCCAACCAGAGTATCGCAAGCATTCCTCTTGCTATCATCAGGGCACCGAGAGGCTGTGCTTCGTTATGATCTCTTCCGTCTAGTGACGCCAGGGTGTCAATAACCGGTCCTGCTGGATACACCCCCCTCCCCTGCCCCTTCAGGGCTGTCGCTGGTCTAGGTAGCCTAAGTGGGCCCTCTTAAGACGCGGAGCTGTAGCTGTACTTGGTACTCTGCCTGTACCTTGTCCTTGAGATCTGTTCGCTGCTCAACCCCGGCCACTACGCTGAGCTCTGTGGGGGGGTTCTTACCTGGGGGCCACCCTGGCGTTAGAGACGGCCGCCCATCCACGGCCCCAGCCAAGAAAGCCTCAAGGCGTGATCTCCCCCAGCCAGCCCACAGTTCTCCCCGGCACCTACAATCTGGATCCCAAGCTGCCGTCCACTCCATATCGCCCCTGCCTTCCCTTGTATGTACACAGCACGGCTCGTCTGTGGGTAGTCTACTGTTGAATGAATGCACGCTCAAAGCTGCCTCCCGTACTGACAGGGGTCCAGCGAGCCCTGCCCCTCCAGGGACCTAGTCGATTAGGTGCCCTCAGCCCAGCCAGATCTTTTCCACACCCCAAGCAGCTCGGACGCACGCCTGATCCTGATCGAAAGGCCGGTATTTGATATAAACCGTGCCCTCTTCCCCAGATCTCTGGGATCGTTTCTTGCTCGCTCGCCTCGATCTTGGGCTTAGTCTCGATATAAACCCACACTCCTCACCCAACGCTGCCCAACTACCAACGGCGCCACTTCTTTGACTGCTTATTTCCTTAAATCTTTGCATCCGGCGGACTTTTGCTTTACCTCCTTCTCCTGCGACCAGTATTCGTCTGCTTGAACCTGCTTCATCTTTGTCGTTGCCACTCGCCCATTCTTTCCTATACAACATTTGCTGTCTGCGAGACGCACACACCCAAGCATCTTCTCTGTTGCGGGCATTCCTACCACCCGTGCACCCCAGGATTCCAACAACCCAGCAAAACCCCTCATTCTCCGGCCGATTCGCAGCCTAGCCTCCGCCCCTGAAAAATGCAGCTCCCAACGCCTCCCGGCTGGGGCCAGTGGCAGCAGAACGAAGTGGAATCCGGCTACGTCCATATCGGCTCACCCATGATGGGCACCCAGACTCCTCTTCAGCAACCGACGCTGTCATCTCAGTATCCCGTGACCCTGGCGCCCTCGCCCAGCCTACAGCAGCCGATTTCATACGCTCCTTACACCCATGGCCTCCCGTCAGTTGCTCCTCTCCAGATGCCGACGGTAGGGTCTCAGCACAATCACCAGCATCAGCATCAGCACCACCACAGCCAGCATCACCACCAACAACACCAGATACAGTTCCCCGATCACTCCATCCAGCGACCTCGGAGGAAGCTCGTGAACACGAGGAGCCTCAGAGACACCACCGCGGAAGCCATGGAAGCCGGGCATCGGGGGCGCACAACACCGGAGAGGGCCACTCGTAGGGTCCCAAAGACGATTGTGGCCAACGCTCCAGTCGTGGGCGCGAGCCACGTCGGCAACCATGTCGAGTTCAACACCTCGGTCGATAAGCTCATGAAGATCATCCAGTCCATGCCTGAGACTGGGACCCTCGTCGAGTCCATAGAGTCGGTTGTGAAGCCGGAGCCAGTTCGCCTTGAGGAACCTGAAAAGGCATGTTCTGCGCGCCCTTCAGACGGGATTCCAGTACTACCTCGAAATCTCAACTAACACTTCTGTTCTAGGCCGTTTCGCCTATTGATGAGCAGAAGCCTGCCAGCGAGAAACTGACTGTGCGGAGATTTGTCTGCCACTTCCGTGGGTGCCTGAAAAAGTTCGCACAAAAGGCACAGCTCGACACCCATGTCCGATCCCACACAGGCGAGAGACCATATGTAAGCATACTGCCCGTAGCTAACATGTCGAAGACTCTTGTTGGTGGCTAACAAGATGTTCCTTCTAGGTTTGCGAATTCCCCAACTGCGGCAAACGATTTAGCCAGTCTGGTAACCTCCATGTACGCATCCCACCTTCAACCTTCGATATTCTTTGCTTCCTGGTGCCGAAATGGAAAACACTCGGTTGGGACTGTTTGCTGATAAAAGAACTTGGCAGACCCACGAGCGCAAGCACACTGGAGAGAGGCCGTATGTCTGCGATATCTGCGGCAGGCGCTTCGCCCAAGGCGGTAACCGACAGGCACACAAAAAGGTTCACCAAAAGACAAAAGATTTCATTTGCAGACTAGAGGGCTGTGGCAAGGAGTTCACGCAGCGTGGGAACCTCAAGGTGAGTTTGTCTGAGACGTTCTGGAAAAGGGGCAGGGGGTAGGCGGAGCTGACCACGACTGACATGGCCACCGCGAACAGAGCCACCAAAACAAGTCACACCAGCAGTTCATGGACCAGACTATGGCGAGACTGGAGAAAATCTCGCTGGAGAACATGTCGCCGGAGGACAGGGAACTCGTGATATACCTGGCCCCTCTCTACAAGAACTCGAACAAGGGAATCAAGGGCCGAGGCGTCCGACCTCCGGGCTATCGCCTGAGCCGCTCCGACCGCTCATCCTCGATGTCATCGTCGGCTCACTCCTACTCCCCAACCAAATCTGAAGCGAGCTTGACATCAAGCCCTTGCACTGCTGGCCCGCCCCCACAGCATCACTACGGTGGCCATGCACAGCAGCACCATCACCAGCAGCAGCAGCAGCAGCACCAGCAGCGCCACCCGGACCATCAAGATATGTCCTCTTACCACCCATCGAACCCTGTTCCGACACACCACCACCAGCGACCTCAACAAGGCCTCGCCTACCCCCCGGTATCCTTCGGCAGCGCGCCCTCGGGCAATATCCGATACCCGTACAATGGCATCGTTCACCGCTACGAAATGCCGGAGCACTCGCACCCCTACAGCGGTATTCCGGTAACGACGTCTTCCTCTACCTCATCCCCGGTTGCCACCGTTTACAGCGACGACAGCGGCGCCGTGTACCAAAGCGACGACAACGGTGCTCGCGAGTTGGCGTTTGGTGAGAGGATGTGTTGAATCTTCGGGTCGCACGTCCCATCCTCGTCCACCTTTGCCTTGGCTCGATCTATTGCGTTTGATTTCCTTGGACCGAGAATCTTTTCCTTTTTGCCACTCTTTTTTTTTCTATACGCCTCCTTTTCTCCTGTCTAAACACGAAACCTACACCTCGACAAAAAAAGCCTAATTTACGACATAAATGTACCAGAAAAAACGAATAGAGACGATGAGAGGCAGCTGGATGCACTACTCGTTCTTCAAGGAATGATTCTCACTTCTCGTCGCTCATTTACACGGATGGATGTTGTTTTTCTTTGTCCTTTTTATTTAGCTGCATGGCCAGCATTTGTTTTGTCCAGGCGACGTTGTGCAAAGTCTTTTTTTTTTTTTTTTTTTTTTTGTATTTTCCTACCTCCTCGACCGCCCATAACAGAATGAGAGCGATGGACAACAGAAAAATGTTTGTTAAACCAAGGGGATGGCATTGTGGTGGTTAATTCTATTCTAGTGTGCGGATATCTGCTTTTCTTCCTAAAATGCGTTTTACCTTGCTTCCTACCGTCCTGCCTTCCTTGTTTCTTTCGGCTCGAGGCCAGCATCGCTCTTGGGGTCTTGTCTTACCTGGAAACTGGTCTGTGAGCCATCGGACACCTGGAGGGGAAGGGCCGAGTGCTGTGCCAAAGGCGTGGCATGGACTTACGCTGCCAACAGGCCCACTATGCCCGCAGGCGCGTCTTCCAAGAGCCTTGGTGGGCGAGGCACTCCACTCCCGCGTGCTTCTGTT